GGTCACACCTGGGCTTCCTCCTCTGCCGCAGACCCGCTGTGTGGTGCTAGGCTGGCCACCACTTCTCTCAGGACCCTCTTTCCCATGCACGGGAGTTGGGCAGGGAGGGCATTTCTCAAAACTGTTCAGGCTTGGGCTTCCTGTCTCTCCATAATCATATTTTCTTTTTCTTTTTTGAGACGGAGTTTTGCTCTTGTTGCCCAGGCTGGAGTGCAATGGCATGGTCTTGGCTCACTGCATCCTTTGCCTCCTGGATTCAAGCAATTCTCCTGCCTCAGCCTCCCAAGTAGCTGGGATTACAGGTGTGCACCACCATGTCCGGCTAATTTTTGTACTTTTAGTAGAGACGGGGTTTCACCATGTTGGTCAGGCTGGTCTCGAACTCCTGACCTCGTGATCCGCCTGCCTCAGCCTCCCAAAGTGCTGGTATTACAGGCATGAGTCACTGCGCCTGGCATTATTGCTCTTTCTTCAGGGTTTCAGGGAGTGAGTAGGTGTGGCATTGGGGTGAGGGAACCTAGACGGGGCCTTGCCTTTGAGCTCTGCCCTCCACCCTGCCCAGCTCCTCGTGCAGCTGAGATGGTGGGGGCCAGGATGCTTTCCTCCCACTGAAAGCGTGAACAATGCTACGGCTGGTTTATTTTTTCCTCCCTGGTATGTGTTCTATTTTCAGTAAGTTTTAATTGAAATGTGGACTCAGGGATATTGTGGGAGATAGAACACTCCCAGGTGCCCCACTGACTAGACGGCCAGATTCCTGTCTGCTTTCTTTCTTTGAAGCTTGGAGACCCGACCTCTGGCTTTGTACAGGGCTAGCCTGTGGACTCTGGGAGTAGTGGGCCCAAGGCAAGGTGGCTGGGGCAGTGGTTAGGGCCCAGGAATGGCAGGCAGGAGGCCCAGGCCCTCAGTCCTTGATGCCCAGGGTCTCTTCTCCACCTGGGCACAGCCTCCACATTTTTCAAGTAGGGATGATAATCACGTTTTCTGGTTTCGGTGAGGACACAAGGAAATCAGGGGCTTAGAGGTACTTTATAACATGATGTCTCTCTACATTACTTTGTGTATTTTAGAAAGCATCTTAATACAGCCAGACGCAGTGGCTCATGCCTGTCATCCCAGGACATTGGGAGGCTGAGGTGGGAGGATCGCTTGAGCCCAGGAGTTCGAGACCAGCCTGAGCAATACAGGGTTAGTGAGCCATCAGTGATGAGTGAGTTGTGATTTATATCACCACTGCACTCCAGCCTGGGAGACAGAGTGAGATCTTGTCTCCAAAATACATGTATATAAAAATAAATACATAGATACATATTTAAGTATATATAATATAATAATTTTAATATATATTTAATATATATTAAAATTATGTTAAGATATATGTATATTAATATATAAGATACATATTATGTTAAGATATATAAAATATAGGCTGGGCACAGTGGCTCACGCCTATAATTCCAGCACTTTGGGAGGACAAGGCAGGCGAATCACCTGAGGTCAGGAGTTTGAGACCAGCCTGGCCAACATGATAAAACCCTGTCTCTACTAAAAATACAAAAAATAGCTGGGCATTGTGGTGGATACCTGTAATCCCAGCTACCTGGGAGGCTGAGGCATGAGAATGGCTTGAACCCGGAAGGTGGAGGTTGCACTGAGCTGAGATCGTGCCACTGCACTCCAGCCTGGGTGACAAGAGTGAGACTGTCTCAGAAATATATATAGAGATATATAGATTAATAAAAAGATTAATAAATTGCGAATAAAGTTATATATAGAAATCTTATATAGCTCTATATTTTATAGATAAGATACCTCATATCTAGAAGACATAAAGATACATAAGATATATACATATAAGAAACATAAGATACATATATCTTAATTTTTAATTATTTTCTTGCATATCTTGTTTTCGATTTAGTTGACACTTTAAAAGAATGACTTTTCCTGACTGCTTGTTGCTACAATATAGGAATTAAATAGATTTTGTTTTGTTTCATGTTTTTGAGACAGGTTCTCACTCTGTCACTCAGGCTGGAGTGCAGTGGCACTATCAGGACTCACTGCAGCCTTGACCTCCCGGACCCAAAGGATCCTCCCACCTCTGCCTTCCGAGTAGCTGAGATTACAAATGCCACCACCACTCCCAGCTAATTTTTGTATTTGTTGAAGGGATGGGGTTTCACCATGTTGCCTGGGCTGGTTGCAAACTCCTAGGCTCAAGCGATCCACCTGCCTCAGCCTAGATTTTTGTATATTGATATTTTTATCTAGAGAAGTTGCTACTTTTTCTTACTAGTATATTATCTGGAGGGTTTGTGCTTGTCTGTGTTTATTGGGGGCGTTTTTAATGCAGACTAATAGTTCTTGAAGAGGTGTACTGCCCCCTAGGGGGAGATTTGGAAATTGCAGGGGAGTTTAATTTTGTTGTTGTTAGGTCTAAGAATTTACATAATCAATATGAACATTTTAAGGTATTTTTCTTTTATTTACCTCATATTACAATTAAAGTACTGTATTGTTTTTTTGAAAATATGCGTGTGGAGGTGTTATATTATCTAAGTATTTCATTTCAGGATGGGAGACTGGCATTAATTTGTTACAGAAAGGAAATTTGGATCTGATAGGGTTCTAAACTTCTGAGATTTTGAAAAATTTCTTTCTGTTTCCAATTATTATATTTCTGTATTTTTTCTCATCTTTGTGTGCTTTCCAGTCCTGGACAATTCCGAACAGAAGTAGTGAAGATGGGCACATCTCATCTTGCTCCTAACCTTAAGTGAAATGCTGTCAAATGCTTTCACCTCTTACTAATAAGATTTTCTTTAAAATCACTAATGGATGTTGAATTTTAATAAACGTCTTTTCCATGCCTCTGAAATGCTTATATTTCTCTTGATGCAATGCACCGCATTGACGGATCGTCCTGTCTTATTTACGTAGTCTGGCTGTTTTTCTAATGCTAAGCGCCTCTGGAATTTCTGGGATAAACACACCTCCGTCCTGATACATTCTCCTTTTTACCTGTCACCGCATTTTGTCTGCTAGCATTTTGTGTAAGATTTTTGTTTTCATCTAGGTTCCTGAGATAGGCGCATCATCTTCCCTGCTCCTGGAGTTCTTGGGGGTTTGAGCCCTTTGAGTGTCAAAGTCATGCTGGCCTCACTAGGGCCGTTGGGGGCCCGCGCTCCGGGGCTGCTCTGTGGAGTCCAGGTGTGTGCGGGATCCGAGGGGCGGTGCGCGCCCCCTGGCGGCCGCGGGCCGCAAGAGCCAGATGAGCGGGGCGAGGAGCGCCGGGACAGGGCTTTGGAGAGCCATGCGCCACGTGGCGCCCGATGCTGCCCGGGCTGCACGGGTACTGCAGCCTTCCCTGGGCCTGGATGCGAGTGCAACCTTCAGAAACCGGGTGGCCAGGACCCAGAGTCACTCAGCCCACCCGTAACGGCGGCTTCCCAAGCCTCTGAGCCAGCAAGGTCCTGAATCTTCATCTCTACGAATAGAACGGGGATAATCCGCTTGTCTGTCAGGGAAATGGGAGAAGGCTGTAAAGGCACCTTTTGTGTGATTTTGTGTCAAAGCACAATTTGCACCTTCCAGAGGACCTGTCCGCATTCTGGCCTCAGCATTCTTGTTTTCCCGTATCTTGTAAGCACTTGACAAATGGCAGCTAGGGGCGGGAATTCAGAATCAATGACACTCAGTAGTCCAGAATGAGAGTTCGCATCTAGGAGGTCTGTGTGAAATAAGCACTCTTGTTCATTAATTCATTTTTGTGCATTCATAACTGTTGATTTATTCCACAATAAATATTTACTGGGCACTGTGGCCAATAATAACGGCCACCAAAAAAGTTGTCCATACCCTACTAAATACCTGGAACCTGTGCCTGCTACATGTTACATAAGAATGTTATGTGTTGCATGTCACCATGTTACATGGCAAAGGGAAGTAAGGTTGAGGCAGAATGAAGGTTGCTCATCAGCAGACTTTAAGATAGGAAGAGAATCCCAGGTTATTTAGGTAGGCCCAGTGTAGCTACAGGGTTCTTAGAAGTGGAAGGTTGCATGCTCCTTCTGAGAATCTATTGCCTGATAATCTATCACTGTCTCCCATTACCCCTGATGGGACTGTGTAGTTGCAGGAAAACAAGCTCAGAGCTCCCGCTGATTCTACATTATGGTGAGTTGTATAATTATTTCATTACATATTACAATGTAATAATAACAGAAAGAAAGTGCACAATAAATGTAATGCACTTGAATCTTGCCAAAACCATCCCCCACATTAGTCTGTGGAAATACTGTCTTCCACAAAACAAGTCCTTGGTGCCAAAAAGGTTGGGGACTGCTGTCCTAAGAGATGCAATCCACACCACTGGGACAGGTGGCATGCATCCACTCATCCATTCACCCCGAAATCATTTAGGAGTACTTGTTATGGCCTGCTCAGAAAAAAAGACCAGCAAGGGACAAGTGGCTGTGGCTACTGGAGGCCCATGGCAAGGGCTGCAGAAGGGTCAATTGGAATTGCCACCTCCTCCTGCTTCCTTTGACCTCTCAGAGCTGCCAGTAAGCCAGCAGAATGACAGTGCCCTCCTATGTGGCTTACAGAGGATTTACGTGGCCCTGACATGGAACATGACTGTGGAAAGTGTATTAGTCCATTTTCGCACTGCTATGAAGGATGCTACCTGAGACTGGGTAATTATAAAGGAAAGAGGTTTAATTGACTCACAGTTCTGCAGGTTTAACAGGAAGCATGGCTAGGAGGCCTCAGGAAACTTACAATCAAGGCCGAAAGTGAAGGGAAAGCAGACAGCTTCTTCACAAGGCAGCAGGAGGGAGTGGGAGCGAAAACGAGGAAGTGCTGCACTTTAAAACCATCACCTCAGCCAGGTGTGGTGGCTCACACCTATAATCCCAGCACTTTGGGAGGCCGAGGCCAGTGGATCACACTGCTCCCAGGGGAAGGGAGCAGTGAGTGGCAGTTCGTGGAACCGGAAATGCAGGACTGAGGAGTCTGGTCTTTGTCCTGAAGGCAATGAAGATCCTTTGGCCAGTCTTCTGACTTTCTGCCCAGGTTCTTTCCTCCCTGAAAGCGAGTCCCTGCATCCATCTTATATAGTTGGGACCTTGCTGACTCACACTTCTGCCTGTCCTTAGGCTGTTTCCTTGATTTTCTATATTGCCAAGATGACTGGCAGCTGTAACTGCTTCAGGTCAGGACCACAGCCTGGTTCTCAGAGCCCCGGTCACCAAGTTCCCAGGAAGTCCTGCACATTCTCTTAACCACTATCCACCTCCGTTTCAGATCTCCCACCTCCCAAACACAATTCTACACACCTGCCTCCATAGCCTCTCCAATGCTGGCCTCCATGTTCCCATCAGCGTTTCTCCACTTTGAACTCCCCAGAACTCCCTGCTGGGTTGTCCAAGGCCCACTGACCCTGAGGCCCAGACTCCAGCAAGGAACCTGTCTCTGACCTGTGGGGGTGAGCATTGGTTGGCAGGACCCTACCAGGCCATTAACTTTGGTGGGGGTGAGTGTGGAGGGGATCAAAATGGGGTGCTGTCTGAGAATGACATGGCCCTGGATTAGTCACTGTCTGACCAGGCCTCTGGTTTCCACTTTGATTTCTACCTCATGGGGTACCAGGACAGCTGTGAGAGGAAGGATGCCACATGTACCTCAGCTACATGTGACTGACTTCTGGGGGGAGGGAGAAGCAGGATCCACCTGACGACTGTCAGCCCAGCTCCAGCTCCACTCACTTGTAGAGGAAATGCTGGAAATGGCAACTTAACATTTGTAGGCATATGGCAGGGCACGCTGATCCTCGCTCCCACATTCCCAGGTATCCCTTGCTCCACTGCCCACAAGGACCCGAGTGTGGGAGCCAGGTGCCCGGGAAAGCTTGCAGAGGGGGCGGTGGAGCTGGGTTTTCGAGGATGAACAGACATTCTAGCCCAGTGGTCCTCAGGTCTAGCTGCACATTCGAATCACCGGAGGAACTTAAAAAATACTTAACACGTCTTGGGTCACCCCAGACCAATCAAATCAAAACTTCAGGACATGCAGCCAGGATGCAGTTATTTCCCGCATCCCTCACACCCTGCTGATTTCAGTGCGTAGCTGGGTTTCAGGTGCACAGAGCTGGGCAGGACGGAAGGTACCCAGGGTGGGAAAGCTGCCTTCTCAGCACGGACACCGTCACGGGTGGAGGCCCGGGACTGAGGCCACCCACCCAGCCTCAGGAGACCCGGTGTCCCCGGTCACAGCTGAGCGTGGGGCTGTGCAGCGCCTTCCACATGAGCAGCATCTCGTAGGGTGCGAAGCGGTGCACCAGCAACAGCTGGCGGTACATGCAGGGGTCAAAGGAAGGCTGCCGCGCGCCAGGCAGCTGCACACCGAAGGGCCGGATGCCCTCGTGGCCACTGGGCTCCAGGCCGGCGCGCTCCAGACACATGCCCATGTAGGCATCGTCAATGGGGAAGAGCGGGGTGTGGCCGGCGGCCCAGCGCAGGGCCCGGGCCGTGGCGCCAGACAGGAGGAAGCCACCGCCGCTGCAGTACACTGGGTAGACGGACCCGGGGAAGAGCTGCGGGGGCACGAAGTACTTGCTCCAGCTGTCGCGGATGGGCACGGAGCCCTGCATTAGCTGGCCGGAGAACAGGTGGCGGTCGGGCGGCTGCGCCCGCAGGAAGCGGAGCACGTTGGCGGTGTGCACGAACACGTCGTCGTCGCCGCTGAGCAGGAAGCGCGCGTGCGGGCAGCGCGCCGCCAGCCAGTCCAGCAGGTGCACGTGCTTGAGCGTGAGGTTGAGGAAGGTGTCGGCGAAGGCCCACTGCAGCACGTCGCCGTGCTCGCGCGCCTCCAGCGCCACCAGCGCCGCCAGCCGCTCGGCGGGCGCCTCGTCCTCGGGTCCCGGGGTGCCCAGCAGGAAGAGGCGGCGCACCTGCAGCCCCTCGTAGCTGCGCTCCTGTCCCCACGTGCGCCGGATGAGCTCACGCCGCTCGTAGTGCGCAGGCGCCGACTTCACGGCCAGGAGCAGGAAGACGCCGCGGCCGCCTGCGCACTTGGCCGGAGCGTCCCAGAGCAGCGGGAAGTGGCGGCAGTGGCGGTACCGCAGGAAGTCCTGGATGCGCGTAGGCAGCTGTTCGAAGTCGGCCGTGGCGTTGGCTGAGGTGTTGGCCATGCACGGGGGCCCGGGGGCCAGCACCGAGGGCAAAGCGGCAGCTGTGCGAGCGTCGGTGGGGCCCTCTGGCGTCTCCTCCTGCGGGGACCTCTCCTCTTGCGGGGACCTCGGGGCCTGGAGGAACCACTGCTGCAGTGCCAAGAAACTCACGCCCACCAGGAGGCAGGCCAGAGTCTTGGGATCCAGGGACCTGCGGCAGGGAAAAGCCATCTGTGGGGGAAACCGAGTCAGAGGTGAGCCAGAAGTCATCTTTGACACCCGTGGGACACCACCCGTACCCCGTCAGCTCTCTCCCAGAACCTTCTTAACTTTGCTGTTAAGTGGTAAAAAGGAACCAAAATCCAAGATTACACTGACTCTCTCTGACTCTCACAGGCTGGACCGTTCCTCTGACCTTCAGATATGTGTGTCTCTTTGCCTTCTGACAACCCCGCCCCACAACTCGTCAGTAGGCCGGTCGCCGGACTCATCGTTTGAGTTTCCATCTTCCCCTGAACCCATACCCTGCTGTTCCCACCTCCGTTCACATGACTACTGCCAGAAGCCCCAAACTTCTTCCCTGTCCTTCTCAGCTGCTACCTGCTGTCCGCATCCTACATCCCTCTCATTTACCCCTTCTTCTCCACCTCTGCCAGCCCGCATCCTCTCTAATCTCTTCTCGTTGCCACCCGAGTCGAGGAAGCATGAGGTAATAGCACTGGCCTGAGACCCAGGGTTGAATTCTGCCTTCCCCGCTTCCATCTGCACTGTCTGAACAGTCAATTCCCATGTCTAGGTCTGAGTGTTGTCATCTGTGACAAAGAGGTAGTGAATTACTACTGCAGAGTTGTTGTGAGCATGAAATGAGCATGAAGTGGCCAGTGACTGAATGACCTGCGTGATAGGACCTCATGGGTGCTGTGACCTCCATGGAATCCTCTAGCTCTGCCTCCTCATTCTACCTGCTGATATTATTTGCTGTTCCCAAACCTTCACCCTCAGTCCCTCTCCTGCAGGTAGCCTGTCCAGGTGCACCTCAGGCACGGCCTGAGGTCTTCACGAAGACCCCCAGGGACGAATCCCAGGTCAGAACAACCTTTTCTGTATTTAACTGTGCCCTGCTAAAAGCATCAGGTTCTACATCTCAGACCATTGCCTCTTTATTTATTTATTTGAGACAGGGCCTCGCTGTGTCACCCAGGCTGGAGTGCAGTGGCGCCATCATGATTCACTGTTGCCGTGAACACCTAGGCTAAAGCAGTCCTTCCACTTCAGCTTTTGGAGTAGCTGAGGTGCTCTACAAGAGTGCATCACCACACTTGGCTAATTAAAAAATTTTTGGGGGGTAGAGACAGGGTCCCACTATGTTGCCCAGTCTGGTCTTGGACTCCTGGGTTCAAGTGATCCTTCCACCTTAGCCCCCAAAGTGCTGGAATTACAGGCATGAGCCACTGTGCCCTGCTCCCACTCCCTCCTTCAAACAGACTCCACACTCTCCTGCCTTTCCTCCTTTCTCTTTGACTATGTTTCTCAGTTCCCTTTGCTCAATCTCCCCCCTCTAATGACCTTCTTCTTTTTTTTTTTTTTTTTTTTTT